TTGAGGCTTGCCTAGTTAGTCTGGCTAGTCAACTTGTCCCAGGGACTCCCCACCTCCTCCCGAGTGCGGGAATCACAGGCAGGCCACCATCCTTACCCACCCTGTGTTATGTCCTTAGCATGGCAAGCAGTTTTTCTACTGAGCTATCACCTTAGCCCAGGCTATGAACTCTTGATCGTCCTGCCTCAGCTGGGTACTTGGTTTTGGGGTGTGAGCCACCAGGCCTGGAAGAACCAGATTGAGGAAGTGGAGCTGAAAACAGAACAGACTCCAGACAAGAGGCTGGGGACCAGTTATATCAGTGTCTTAGCCTGCTGCAAGAGATCACTCAGATATCCCCCATCTCCCACCTCCCATTCTTCTTTGTAGCCTCTGAGTCCTAAAAAAATTACACAAGCTCTTTGGATAGGGGCAGGGTGATGGGCTGTGACCTACATCAGGCTCAAAGGTCACTGGATTTGGCCAATACTGTTCAGCAGGATCAACCAGACTTGACGCAAAAGTTTATTTGTTGTTGTTGTTGTTTTGTTTGGTAGGGGGTTGCTGAGATAGGGTCTCATGTAGCCCAGGATGGCCTCAGACTGGTTACATAGCTGAGGCTGGCCCTGAACTACTGATCCTCCTGCTTCTACCTCCTGAGTGCTGGGATGACAGAAAACAAGTCCTGACAGGCACTTTGGAATGGCTCTGTCTTTGGGAGTGTCTCGCTCACACATCATGAGAAGGTTGCTTCTGGCTAGCCTGCTGGTCCCAGGAGAATGACGACAGACGTGTGTGCACAGGTAGATCACTCCAGCCCAGGGTGCAGTGACTTCTCGTCACAGCCAGTGGCCTCTCAGACTTAAAACGCACCCGAGGACAGAGAGTTACCTACAGGGGCCTCAGCTGATGCTAACTCAGCATGTGGATGGAGGAGGCTGCTGCATTTATAGAGGTTTCGGGGAGGGGAGGTTATTAGGGAACCGAAACCTTGCCTCAAACACGTAATTCACACTTTACAGCAAACATCTATCAGTTAAACTTAGTCACCCCGCACACTGGGAAACAGATACCTAGGCAGCTCGGGCTTGGAGGGTAAAATCAATGATTGGTACCAGAAGAGACGTTCACTAAAGAGCCCAGTGGGCCCTGAGCAGAGTGTGGAGGGGAAGGCAATGTAAAAAATTTACTTCAGTCAGGCATGGTGGCACACGCCCTTAATCCTAGCACTTGGGAGGCAGAGGCAGGAGGATCTACATGGTGAAACCTTGTTTCCGAACAAAACAGAACACTGGAGTTTTTACTTATGAGTATGTATCTGTGTGTGTATGAAGTGTGTGTGTGTGTGTGTGTGTGTGTGTGTGTGTGTGTGTGTGAACCATGGAGTCCAGATAAGGTCCATGGATTCCCTAAAGCTAGAGTACAGGTGGCCAGTTGCAAGCTGCCCGATGTTTGTGCTAGACTTTGGTTCTCTGGGAGAGTAGCAAGCACCCTAAACCACTGAGTCATCTCTCCAGCTCCCCTAGCTAGGTTTTTATAATTTATTTACTTTCATTTTATGTGCATTGGTATTTTGCCTGCAGGTATGTCTGTGTGAGGGTGTCGGATCTTGACCTTACAGAAGTGAGCTGCCATGTGGGTGCTGGGAATTGAACCCGGGTCCTCTGGAAGAGCAGCCAGTGCTTTTAACCACTGAGCTTTCTAGTCTCCCTCCAACTATCTTTTTAAAGTTAGACAAAAGCATGGGGACCAAGATCGTGTCCAAGAAAATAACCTCTAAATGAAGACCAATGAGAAAGTGAGATCCTAACGTCCGAACCTCCAGAGGATTACCCTGGTGCCAGGAGGCCTCCCAGGTCCCTTGAATGTTAGAGGAAGAAATGTCTACAGCTGAGTCGAGAAAGAGGAAGGATGCCCGCTCCCCAGCTAGACTTAAATCATATAATTATACAGGAAACCAAAGCATTTTTTCTCCTTTGGGACAAGGTTTCTCTCTGTAGACCAGGCTGGCCTTGAACCGCCTGCCTCTGCCTCCTGAGTGCTGGGATTA